TGTATATGTTAAACCTCAGTGTATGTTTTAGAGACGTTTGTGGCTCCAAGCATGACTCAAAGCTTGAGGCTGGGTCTTCTCCCAGCCTTCTCCCCATTTCTATACCAAGCATGTACATGGAGCCCTTGTAGGCTGAGCAAGCTGGCTGTTCATTCTGGGAACTCTTCCCTAGGCCCTGTAGCCAAGGCATTCAAGCATAGCTAGGGATCCAGCATGACCTAACCAGAACCGTGAAGAAAAATCTCAGTATCAAACAGTGCTCGGCACTGTCTGGAGACAAGACAGAGAGCACATCTCCTGCTTTTTGGAATGTTCTCATTTATAACTTCCAACTGTTAGCAAGTATGCAGTGCTTGTGTATGCTGTATATACCTTGTGCCTTAGTGTACACCGAGTGAACATCTAATTGGGGAATTCTTTTCCTCTCTGTTCTGTCCCAGGTCAATTTTATGTGCTGTGTGTTTTTTCATTCCTTCACTAATGCAAAGAGAACATCCCAAACAAATATTCCCTCCCAAACATGGGTAATAAAATATGTCTTTATTTTTTTAAAAAAAACCTTTTACTAAAATCATTAGAGAATTTTCCTTGCATTATTTCTACCAGGAGCTTTCTCTTAAGCAAAACAACCACAGTTACCCCCTTCTGCCCTAAATTTCAGTCTTGCTTTATTAGCACCAGAGGCCAGATTCTCAAAACTGCTGATTTAAAAAATCCATACAATCTTTAGAACACTTTGGCAAGGTACTTTTTTTAAAACACTTGGAAATAAATCACAACTTGTGGCTTAATAATCAGAATTGTAGGTACAAAATATAGTAAGTCAAGTAATAGACATTTGTTAGCATTTTTTTGCATTATTCCATTAATATATGTTTAGAATTCCTAAATATTTAAAGCTCCAGACTGAGAGCTATTAGGGTGATTTCTTTGCTTAAATTGAGCTCAAGTAATGCTTTTGATCTCCGTTTTCATTCACTTAACTAGAAATTAATTTTTCAAAAATGGAAAATGGTTATTTGTTGAAAGACCCACAAGATGTGCCTTCAAATAAAAGGAATTAAGAAAATATGTATGTCGTGATCCCTTAGTGATGGGAAGTTGTTTATAATTAATTTAGACAAACTGTTCAACAGTGTGCCAGCATATCAACAGAACCTTTTCATAGTCTGAGTCCTCTTGTGTTGATTTTTAAAAGGCAGCCAGTAAGACCTGGGGGCTTTTAAACTGCAGAACTCAAGGAATTTGCTGATTTCCCCCTACTGAGCAACAATAACCCTATATAGGCATATTTCAGTAGGTATGTCTTTATGTGGATGGATGTTTGTGTCTGCATGTATTGTTTTATATACATACACTATTTATATGTGTATATATATACATGTATATATAAGCTCATGTATATATAAAATATATATGAATACGAACATGCTTACATACATATGCACTCCCTTTGCCTTCTTTTCTCCCAGTCATCTTTGAGACTGTCTTTATTTGCTTTAAATAACTTTTTGGCTCAATTAAAGCTCTGCTGGACACGTTAAATTCCACCTCTGATGGTATTTCAGACTTATTTTAAATTAAAGATAACACACAAAATAATAGCAATAACAGAATATAATTTCCGTTACTTTTTTTTTAATAACAAAATCAGACTTACAAATTAGAATCCACACGTTAAAAATGTGCCTACTCCAGAAGGAATGCACTGATGTTTTGACTAGGATTTGGACTGCGAAAAAAAGAGAGGTGAAGTGAGTGCATGTGAGAGAGACTGGAAAAGAGAGAGCTTAGGAAAGCAAATGTGCTCTGCAGAAGTAGTTCAGTTTGCATAATTTATTTCAAATATGGATCCTCTATGGTGTGTGAGTGCTTCCTCCCTCACCTCCCTCACCCACACCACACTCCCCCCCCTTTCTTTTAAAAATAGGAATTTCTGTGCTGCTTGCGTTCCAATATTCCAGTTCAAACAGGGTGCTTGGCAGTAGCTCAGCACCTGTGTACTTGACTACTTACTGCTGACGAGCCTTGCTTGCCGGTAATCTAGATTTATGGTAAGTCTACCCTTTCCCTTCATCTACAAGGTCCGGGGACATTCGGGTAGCCAATCTGCCCTTAAATATGTCTCTGAGGAAATGGTGCTAATTAGTATTGGAATTTACAGCCTTCCATTTTATTGACTTGTCCTACTTTCTTCGATAATTAACTAATGAGTAAAGTAATGAGCTATGTTAGTCAGTCATGATGTTCAATTAAACAGCAAATCAATTATTGAAAATAGTTTCGGACAGCTCTTGTGTCATCACGAGGAGTGTGCGTGTGTGTGTGTGTGCACACGCGTGTTTTAAATGCGTGCCCTAGATGTGGCAGTGTTCCTCCCTGGAGGGTATCTGGCTGCTGGGGCAGTTGTGTGATCACAGCGAAACCCGACCAGTGGTCCCTCTTGCCCACGTCATCCACCCTCTGTTCAGCTCCTCTAAATCGCGCCCTGATGCTCTGCGTCACTGAGCTGGGCTTATTTGCAGGGGGTCCCCAAAGCCTGAGAAGGACAAGATTGCCCTAAAACACAGAGAGCTTTATGTGATGGGGGGGTTGGTAGAGCGATGTTATGAAACAGGCATGCTTGTTCATGTCTGTGACCCCTCTGCCTCTTGTCCTGGCACAAGAAAACTTTCCCACCAGTGAGCAGGGCCACCTGTCCCAGAGCTCAGCATTATGGCAGCAGGAACAAATACACAAATATTTGCCCTCAAAGCCCCACCTGTCTTCTGGCCATAAGCAACAGAGAAGATGGGAGGGTGATAAAGGATTTTTCCCCTGAAGGCTTTGCATACCAGCCTGGGCAGCAATTGTCCATGGGAAGAGGCTTCCAGGACCGTCATGTCATGAGTCCCCTGCACTGTACCATACAGTGGGGTGGCACCAAACCTGGGGGGGCACTGGCAGGTCAGGTTGCGGGTCACCAGGGAAAGCAGTGACTCTGGGCCTGGCTTCAGTCCTTACAGCACAGGTGGCTTCATTTGGTGTGGGTCAAGCAAAGACCTTTTTCTTCAGGATAAGAAATGCATTCGTTTATCTCCCTACTGTTATGAGTGCAGTTTTACCTAGGAAATGTGAAGGGCAGTTCCAGCAAAGAAAGCTGTATCTTACAACATCATTCCGTAACTTGCTAGATCTTCAGGTTTAATTATTCTTTCATTTGAACTTTTTACCCTTTCTGTTTCCTTCATGTCTTTCACTTCATCTTGTCTGCTGCACTAGCTAATAGCACTTGGGCGCCTGCTGCCCACGACTTTGCGTGCTCCATGTCCGCCCTCCTGGTGACACCCACCTTGTTGCATTTGCTGTTACTTTTAGTTCTGCTTTTGGTATTGGAGAGTACCGTAGCATTATTCCCATATACAGCAAGCAAACCTGCCCTGAAAATCCGGGAGCCTGGGAACAACTTTTACTGTCCTACACTTTACTCATATAAATAAGAAATTTTGATTTGCTCTGTCAAAAGACCACTTTGCTGTGGGCAGCAGCAGATTTTAGAGGTGACAGTAATATTGCATTAAGCAGTCTGATGGTTTTAAAAGGCAAGAAAAATGTAAAGGTTATTAGGTGGAAAATTTGGTTTGGGCTCACATTTTTAACCTATCATTATCAGATACACTGAACCAGAAATAACACTCTTGAAGATTTGCTGTGCTCTCTCACAATTCTGTTTGAGTAGCAAAGTGGCACAAAGAGTGCCATGCCATGCTCAAAGGCTCTGTAGTCATACAAATGTGCCCCATAATTAATAGTAGTCATCATATAATGATTTTTTTCCAAAGGTAGTGAGCATGCAGAAAGCTCCACTCCACCTTCCAAATTCAGAAGGAAAAGCAGGCCAGTGAGCAAGCACCTAAATATGGACAGAGGAAACGGAGTATGTTGGCCTTAGCCAGTCAACTGAATCGCGATTCATTAGAGAAACAACAAGCCAAAACAAATCAAAGACTGTTCAAAAAAGGCAACATAAAGTTTTCATTTCCAAACAGTTTTAATTCACTGTTTGTGCTCTTTACTGGGAATATGCAAGGAACACAAACATTCCCGTATGAATTAAATTACAATTTACATATGAATTACATTAGAAATATGAGCTACACTAAAGAGATAATTAGTGCTGTCCTGGGTTATGTGAGCACAAACAAAATTAAATAAGAACAATTTCAAAGCCAAGTTTTGCTTTGCCTTTTCAACTAAGCTGGTTTAATCAGTGATAATGACTGAAATAAATCCACTACATATAAAACAATGCACAACATACCATACTGTGTGAAACGCCATTACTAAGTCCCATGCCTTGGTAAATCACACAGTCAAACAGGAGTACAGTGTCACCAATACAATGCTACAGAATATTTGTCACTGCTGTGTGCCCAGCCCTGAAGGTGGTGGTCCCTGAGGCTTGCAAGGAAGCAGGACCCATGACAGGCCAGCGTCACTGCGCTGCTCCAGAGAGTAGGTGGGGGGGAAGATGTGAGGGGGTGTGTTGGGGATTTTTTAAAACTAACATATGAATGAGAAAGAGCTGCCACAGGAAAAAACGGCAGTGCTAGCAGAGAGCAATGAGAGGGAGGGAGGCTGGAGAAGCAGCGGGGTTGGGAGGGGGGGAAGAGGGGAAAGTGAGAAGGATAAAAATACCAAGCAGAAGCAGACTACCTGTGCATCAGTGCCGCAGCCCCTAAATAGAGCTATGGTTTATGACTACCTTGCCTAATGAGCTAAACTCTGGTGACCATAAAACTGAAATATAATTATGACATTAAAGATGCCTATATTTGAACTTAATTATTAATTAATTTAATGAGAGAATAGGAGGTTGTAAAATTGCTAATTAAACAGCTCTGTAAAACTGCAGACGGCAGAGGATTTACCAAATGATGAATCCCACAACAGTATTTGGGCTATATCAATATTCTATTAATATACAGTATGCCAGAGGTACTGGCTAGTACGCTACTCACAGTTAAGCCGATGTGACAGGCATACAGAGTGAAAGAAAATGAAGGACATAAAATTCCAGATGACAGCAACCTTGAAGACGATCTCTGCCCCCACCTCTGTGGCAGTTTCTGAAATCAGTTAAATAAACTCAGAAATGCAGGATAAAAATCAATCTTACCATCGCAAATGTGAATAAATTGGCTTGAAGCAAAGGACCCACCTATGGTCTTAGGCACCGTGGTGTTGTGTTGGTCTCTGCTTGCGTGCAGGAATGGTCAGAGCTAATCTGGACTTAAGTGCAACAGAACGGGAGGGATGTAGCGTGAGTGTGTGTGTGTGTGTGTGTGTGTGTGTGTGGTGTGTGTGCTCGCATGTGAAAGAGAAGCTGAGCGAGAGCAAAAAATAACTGTCCCCGTGTGATTAGCGAAATTAAACTCAAGTGAACCTTCAGGGGCTGAATTCGAACCTACGGGGGACAATTTTAGAGATTCCCACACTGCACTATCAGCATGCAAGGAATTTCGCTGTAACATTTGAATGGCAATGCCATTTGGATGACATTCATTTAAAAATATAGAGGAGGAGTGCAGGAAAATGTTTTCTTTTAGCACTGAGCCTAAATCAAGGAACGTCAAAATAAAATGCATGGGGTTGTCTCACCCTGTATGTATCTAAATGTCAGTCATGACTAATTACTGGAATAAATGCAAAAGGAAAAATTCAAGTATCCCTTTGTAGTTTTGTAGGGAACAATGAAATACCACTGGGTAGCGTAACAGAAAACCACCAGCAACACCAGGTTAAATGTAGGAGGTATGTTTTAATATTTGTACAAATCTTTAGAATGGTTGCTTTTTATATCTGCTGTGTGGCATAGCTTTTCCTTTACGCATTTCATTTTTTAAATGTTCTGTTGACAGACAGAAGAAATAATTTGACAAGAAAGATCAAAGGTACAATATCAAGAAAATACGGTGGGAGGAGACTCACACTCCCCCCTAAGGAACAGAGTACAGTCATTACAGTAACATCTCCCATTTCTGAAAAATGGATGGAGGATCTTGAGGCTAAGGACAGGAGTTGTATTCCCAAGCCCTTTGTGAATTCTGAAGAAGTTACATAAACTTTCAGAGCCTGAGTTTCTGCTTTCTAAGCTAGGAATAACAGCAGTTTCTTGCCACTTATTCATGTTTCAGAACACTAAATGGAAGCTTGCAAGTAATTTCTGAGAAAGTAATCTCTGAAAGTTGCTTTTTATTGACTGGTTTGAGACAAGATTTTAGGAAGTGTCACTTCTTGCTTTGTTTTGTTTTTTAATGTCCATCTTGGGACATATGAACGAGGCAATTTTAAGGAGCTGTGTGCTTCACATGATGGTCTTGTTTACCTTACCTCAAATACTAATACAGTCTACAGTCTCTTGATACTCAGAAAGCTCACTGGTGGGTTTTGTATGAGAATCTGCAGCTCAAAGAGCTGCTGCTTTAAAAAATCTTGATCCCAATTTAGAAAACTACTCTGGCTGGTTTCTATCTTATAATATGTGCAATTAATAAATATGAAGGCTTCTATGCATTTATTATCGTTGTATCATGCCCCGCAGTTTTACAGATCCAATTTCCTAAAGAATGACTTCTTTTACCAGAAATAAAACCAGACATTTCTTCTATTGTGCGACCAGCTATCAAGCCCGCCCCTTGACTGGAGGCTTTTGTGATAACTGAACTGGGTTTGACTCACTTAGGTTTCAATCCCAGCAAGACAATTAGTTAAAAGTTGGAACTGGTGGGTTTCTAGTAAAAAGAAAATGCCAAATGACTCATCATCACCCTGTTGCAGGTTACACGTTTATAGCATCAAAGAAACAGCCTCTTTATCTACCCCAGAGCTACCACATGGTAAATTTTATTACTGGTTGGTCTCACGCTTTGCTAGAGAAATTCAACCTGCAGCACAGTGGCTGACTTGAAACAGGATAGAAAGGGCAGGAAATCTGGGTACACTCTTATCTCCAAACTTACCTCGATGCAGCCATTGCAGACAGCTACCTATGAGAAAGAAATCTTTGAGAAAGGGTAAATAGTGGTGAGAGTTATTGTCAAACCAAAAGCCTATTTTTTTTTTTTCTGTGATACTTACTGCCATCCAGTTATAAGGAGATCCTGGGCAGGGACCTCTTTGTTGCAAGGAGCATGAGAGGTCCAGCTGACAGCTCTGAACCTGAAGTTCATGGTCATTTTCATAAGACTGGTCACCACAGACCCTGGGAGAAAATTATTTTGCTCCCTTGCTCTGCGCTGAGGGGAGGAGGCTGGTCACTGTTGCCTGGTGGTGATCGTAGGGGTGTGAGAGGTGAGAAACCAGGCCTGACTGGGGCAGGTGTCTCTCTGGGTACCAGCAGCCACGGTAGCAGTTCTGCTCCCAGCTTCACGTCACATTTAACACCAAAGTGGTTCACAAACTACTGGTAGCAGCTTGGCTAGCATTCATATACGTCACAGTTTGCAAAACTGGGATTGCTCATTCCTTAAACATTATGGGTATAATCCAGCTGTGGCCCAGAGCTAAACCGTACAGTTGACAGGGGTACCTGTCAAGCTTGATTACCAGGAGAGAGCTCCAAAGTAAGAACAGGCGTGATTAACTACTATTGGTATTGCAGGCGTGTGCCAGGGTCTCAATGCGGCACATGTGAGAAATGTGTACAAACCCGAAGCTTTCATTGATTTGGTTTAATTCCCTAGGATTTAAATTTTTTGTTTTAATCATGATTTAAATCATCAAGGAGGTTAGCTTGGTTCAAGTAATCTGTTACTTTTGTTTGCATTTGTCTTTTTTTTTTTACCCTTTAGGAAGATTTCCCTTTTTTGGTTGGTTGGTAAGCTGTAAAATATGTGGCTAAATACATTGTACAAAGTATGCTGCCCACTTCATGTGTTTGTCTCTGATCAGAAGGATACTTTAAATCTTTGCCCATTCAATTAGCCAGCTTTTTAGTTTAATATGATTTAACTTCTTCATTTTTACCTTTAGATAATGTTAGAATATGGTGAGTGCTGTACCTCTTTTTCATTAGGCAAAAACTATTTTTTCTTTGGTATTTGTGTAAAAAATTATTTATACAGAACTCACAACATCTTTCCAGCTGCAGGAAAACCCACCTTAAAATACTTCTCACTAAATAAATACATCTATTTTAAATTCAAAGAATGTGCAGAAGGGAAAATTATATTTACTTAAACAGATTTCTTTTGTTTAAAACAAGCGTGTTAAATAAAAGAAATGGTGTAATGGCATAGTTAAACCAACTGGTTTTGTTCATAATATCCATCGAGACCTTCAAAATGGTAGAGCCCAACTTTTTATATCTATTATATGCATAATAATTGAAAGACAAAAACAAGCTTTTTTTTTTTTTTTTTAACTTCCAATAGGTTTCTAATGTTGAAGTATCCATTCAAACGAACTAACTGAATACTTTCAAATGAAGAAAAAAGTTTTGGAATTCCTGAAAACAAAATTTCTGCCATCAGAAATTCCAAACTGATGTAAAAAATGCAGACTTTAGTTTATACTTCTTTACTAGTGATTATACAAGATCAGTGTTTTGACTTGTTTTTAAAACCTCAGAGTGCGACTAACACTGCTTAAAACCATGCGGCACTGCAGAGATAAAAAGAGAGAAAAGACAAGGCACAGTAATGAAAACATGTTTCTTTCTAAAGCTTGAAGTATGCAGATCTGAAAGTTGTAGTTTGAAAATAGAGGATTACGGTATTTATCAAAAGACATCAGAATTCGCATTAGTTCCTGTTATTGTAGTCTTTCTTTAAATCAAAAGAAAAGACACAGAGTGAATAAGATAGGAAATATGCGGATTCAACTTTCCCCTCTCAGGACAACATGCCAGTTATTACATTTGGGTTGAAATATGAAAGCTAAAAGGTGTTCTCCCAAGTATGTGCATTAACAGTATGACAAAAGTTTCAATTGAAATTCAGTTAGCAACTCTGTTGTTCCACAAGGTGAAAATAGTTAAGCTAGCTTCACAAACTAACTGAATTACGTGAGCACTGGTGAATTACATAAATATGTTTGAAGACACAGGGATCAAGTGGATCTGTGTAGCACTGAGATCCTGTTTTTGACAAATGGCTTATGATTACTGAATATTGGGAGAAGGAAAGAGAGCTGGGGTTTTTTTGGTAGTTTTCCATGAGATCACAAATTCTTCTGGAAGAAAGATAAAGGAGACAATTTTGGGGTCTGCAATCTAGAGAAGACTCATACTTTTTATTTTGCCACCAGATCACACCTTTGTTTAAATCTCTCCACCCAGTTGTCCTCACTGTTTATTTATGAACAGTATGTGAACTTTTCCATACCCCAAATTAGATAATTATCATAAACCCTCCTTCAAATGCAGGTGTGTAGGGGACAGTAAACATATTTCAGCTGCTGAAGCAAGCTACCATGATCTCTGTGGGTATTTTTCTGCAGGGAATTACACAGCCTTTCAGATGATGTCACAAGGAAGGTTGAAGCCTGGCAACACTTTATGCTTGGCACGTGCTTGAAAAATCTAGCTGGATACTTTTCTATTGTTTCAAATCACAAACCAGGCAAGCATCATAAACAAGAATGAGTTGGTATTTCTGTTCCAAAACTCCAAATATGTTAATCTTTTTCCTTACTCTGTCAGTTTTGATTTAATTCTGGAGGAGAAGGAAGGTAAGAAAGCAGTCTGACTGAGGTTGACTGCACTCTCCTGCAAACCTAAAGAACCAAGGTCTAACATCTCCCTCTGTTTTCTAGCACTTCAGGTCTTGTCCATGCAGGAAGATAAGGCAGATCAGCCTTTCCTCTAGTGTTCAGAAATGGTTGTCTCACAAACCCTGGGTGCCTGGCAAGCTGCTTCACAGCATGCTTCTGCTGCATTAGCGTGCTTTGATTATGGTTTGTCCAACCAAGAGAAGGCATCAGGAATAAAACCACTCTACAGGCAACCCAGGATAACTCCTTAGCCTATTTCCCTCCCCCCACCCCCCATCCCTCCCCATGGTTCTTAATCGTGTTATGCTTCAACGCAAAACTTGTTACAACCCCAGTTGGTCAGAAGAGTGTTTAAAAACTGTTCTAAATACAGTTCTCTGTCCTAGATTTCAGCGGGAATATTCCTATAGTTAAAACTACGTGCCTGGTTAAGTGCTAGACTGCATTTATAGGTAAATTTTAGCCTTTAACCCCACCCTAATATTTTGGGGTTTTTTCCTTTTGTTTTGTGAAATTAGATAATTCTTATTTGTTGTATAAAAAGCTTCCAATATATATTGAAGG